TTTTTTTTTTTTTTTTTTTTTAGTTTCAGTCTTATAATTTTCTGTCAGACAAATCCTCTTTGAGAATTAACACTAAAGGTTGTGTCTTTTCCATCCCTGTTGATGAAGCAGCTTTTCATGATGTTGGCAGTAAAATCCCAGCTGTATCCAAACACAATCAGTCTGTGGCTTTAACGTGTGTCTGTAGTTTGGCTGAGTTCATCTTCTGCCTCCGGGAACATAAGGGTGGATTTTCTTGGATTCTCTAGGTATACTGCTATGTCCAATGCAAATGTGAGCAAGCTTCCTGTGGTATGTGCTTGTCTATGCATTCGTGTATCTACCTCATTCCATTTTCCTTTCTAATCACATGTATTCCTAATGCAAGGTAAATGGAGAGCTGTTGGGTTACATGGAATTCTGGATCACAGTAAAAGTACCCTTTTCTTGCCATACTAACAAAGAAACCCTCCATTAATTTTATTAGAGTTTGGCTACTTGCTGAAGTTTTCAAAAGAAAGCAATCATTTACCATTTTCCTGCATATTATGATTCACTGTCAATTAGTTGTATCATACCCACACTTGCATTTCTGGAATAATCCCCACCTGATTGCAGTGGGCCTCTTTCTTCTTCGGTTGTATTGCATTCTCTGTGCTTTGTTTTATGCTTGAAATGGCATGGCACCTGCCCTGCCTACAGCCCTGGGCCTGACCCTGTTGTGTACCATGTGACCCACCACCCCCCTTCTAGGCCACATTAATTAAAGCAGAACCAAACACCTGATGCAAGGGCAGCAGCCAATCGTTAGAGCCAGCTGGAGATAATAGAGTGAGCTTTTCAGGTCTGTGAAGTACAAACAAGGAAACTGAAGTTTCTATTTGGTGTTGGAAGCCATGTGGTATTTAGAGGTGTTGCCCCTGTGGGTGACACTGAGATGAAGATCTCTGGGCTCCTACTGGGCTCCCCAGAGCTGTTCAATACCAGCACCACAAAGCAGGCCTGAATGCACTGTGTCCTGGATCACTGGCTACTGCCCTCATCAGTCCACGCTGTGTCCCCAGCCTAGATTTGAGCCAGCTTGAGTGGGTCTCTTCTTTGTGCAACTTGTCAATATCCAATTGCATTTGACCATTTGGCTACTTCCTGAGAAGAAGAATCAATATTGGCTTTCCTCTCATTCTACCCAGCCAGCATTCCTGGCTCAAGTCCCACCTTGACTGTTGTGAATACCTATTTAAATGTGGTACTGTATTCTGTTTGCTAAGATGGGTGAAAACCTATGCCTTCTCCTCTCAGTGAGTATAATCATTGGTTTTCTGAGTATTCTTCCTTTCCTGAACTGTGTTTGGTCCATAAAATAAGTTCATCACAGCCCACCCTGTTTCCAGCAAATCCATTGTATTGGGGGTGGTGGTGATTACTCCTGTTACTAGATACCTGTATTCTGTAGTTCTCATTGCATCAGTTTGGGTGTTTACTTTCAAAAACAGACATGGTCTCTTTAAACTTGACCCTCAATTTACTTGCATACTCTGATAACAGTAGTTGTGTCCTGTCCCAGTTCATCTTTTGGTTGTTGCCACTCTTTTCTTACTTCTCCCCAATCTCATGATCTTGTCTGTTTTATGGCACTCACTATAATCGGCCTTGCACTAGAGCTGTTTGTGAACTTGGCTTTTCCTCTCCCCTCCCCAACCCTCCCATGCCCATTAGACTGTGAGCTCTTAGAAGACAGGGGTGGCCCTTCATGTCTGATCCCCTACCAAATCTAGCACAGTGCCTTGCATCAAGTAGACATCAATAAATAAATGTTAAATGGCATTGGTCATCCTTGACTTATTTTATCAAAGCTTTATTTATCAATTCTTTCCTTTCTCCTATTTTCACACCATGGAGTGCATGTCTTTATACTTGAAGAATCACCCCCTTCTGGGGTTCAGGTACTATCTTGGTCCCTGCTGGGATTGGCTTGATAGACACCTGGAGAGGAGAAAGGCACCCTGGTGATTAGGGACTAGTTTGCCTGGAGCTTTGAGCTATCCCTTGGCAGAGAGTCACATTCATCAATCCAGGTACTTTTTCCATCTCAGCTAGGACTCCCAGAGTCTGAATTCCAGATGAAAGCAGAAGATAAGGTCAGAACTTGAGTTCCTTCCTTAGAGATCAGCAATGGTTGACAAATGGTTTCTGGAACTTGAGAATCAGCCCACCTTTCTAAGCTTAGACGGGGTGGGAGCAGGGAAGTCAGTCATTTTGGTGGCTAGTGGTTGATCCTCTCTGGTGACCATTGCATCAGGAAAAAAAGAGGAGGCTCTTGGTTTACCGACCCTTCCAAACTCAAATAGGGCTCAACTGTGAAGACAGCTGCCCAATTGTAGAAAGACAAACACAAAGTAAGCTCCAGGAACCCAATGGGAAACTTAACAGGAGAGAGGAAGATTCTAGAAAAGAGAATGACTTCCCCGCCAACTATTTCCCTGGCTTCTAGCAGAGACCCAAGGAAGGGCCATGTCATCTTTCCTCAAGGTCCTCACCCCAGAGCAGCTGTAGGGAGGTGGAGTTTCACAGTATCGACATGACAGTGCAACTACCTGCCTGTGTGCTTGCCCCAGTCTGGCCCAGCCATATCAGCTTGCAAGCCAGTCATTGGGAAAGAACCTTTCACTTGCTTTTATTGGTTCATGAGGTGCTTGTTTCTTAGAATTCCACCTTCTTTCCTTAAATTAATGTATGCAAGCTCTGTTCTGGCAAGCTTCACTTGGCATGGGTCAAAACCACAAATCATTTGGACAGCCAGCACAGACTGTGGGGGAGGAGTCAATCAGGGATTTCTCTCCAGGGGTCCTGTAGGCCTCTAGTACAGAGTTCAAAATATTCCTTCCTGCCTTTCCTAGTGCCCCTGACTTCCTGAGCCTGGTAGCTTCTCCAGCACCATCCTCTATGGAACAAGCACAAAGGCATCTAATGAAACAGGGATTTACTTTCTGGCTCTCACCTTCAGTAACACATTCAAAATTATTGAATTTTGAGGCCATTGGTTTTGAGGCCCCCTGGCAGTGTTCTGCATAGCAACTCATGGGCCAGTGTCTACATGACCCCTGTCTGCCTAGCCCAGGTTCATTTTATACCCTCTCCTCCACCCCACTTCTACCTACAGGACCACCCAAGACAGACAGCTGGCTCAGGGAGAAAAGTGGCTTCTGCTCTGATGCTCACTGCATTTTAGCTTCACTTCCCCAGTGGTCTTCTGACCCATTTTTCTAAAGATTCTCAACCTGTTTCTGTCTGTCCTCGTTAGTCCATCCAACAGTAGGTCATACTTTCTATGTGCCAGCCTGACCTGGCCCACCTCAGCATCAGAATACAGGGTTAAAATGCCAGTTTTATCTGAAAGTTCAAGTC